AGAAAATGTGATTACAATAAAAACTAATAAAAAAAGCAAAGTACTGTAAACGATAATATAACACCGTACAGCAAAATATATTAACCATGATAACTTCATTTGGAAAGTGTGGTTAACAAGCCATACAGTAGTAACACCAAGGCTGGGACAAACACACGCACACCTTAACACTTCTTCATTAACGAGTTGGTTATAGCATTAAACAAACAACAATAAACGACAGTGATGGGAGAAGAGCAGTGATGGGGTACAAGTGATGGGAAGAGAATAGTGATGGGGTACAGGTGATGGGAAGAGAACAGTGATGGGGTACAAGTGATGGGAAGAGAACAGTGATGGGAGAAGAGCAGTGATGGGGTACAAGTGATGGAGAAGAGAACATGGGAGAAGAGCAGTGATGGGGTACAAGTGATGGAAAGTGAGAACAGTGATGGGAGAAGAGCAGTGATGGGTTACAAGTGATGGGGGAGAAGAGCAGTGATGGGTACAAGTGATGGAAAGAGGGAAGAGAAGAACAGTGATGGGAGAAGAGCAGTGATGGGGTACAAGTGATGGGGTACAAGTGATGGGAGAAGAGCAGTGATGGGGTACAAGTGATGGGAAGAGAACAGTGATGGGAGAAGAGCAGTGATGGGGTACAAGTGATGGGAGAAGAGCAGTGATGGGGTACAAGTGATGGGAAGAGAACAGTGATGGGGTACAAGTGATGGGAAGAGAACAGTGATGGGGTACAGGTGATGGGAAGAGAACAGTGATGGGGTACAAGTGGTGGGAGAAGAGCAATGATGGGTACAAATGATGGGAAGAGAACAGTGATGGGTTACAGGTGATGGGAAGAGAATAGTGATGGGGTGCAACGGTGATGGGAAGAGAATAGTGATGAGAGAAGAGCAGTGATGAAGTACAAGTGATGGGAGAAGTGCAGTGGTAGGGTACAACGGTGATGGAAAAGGAACAGGGATGGGTAACAACAGGAATGAAGGTACAGTACAACAGTAATAAAGGGAAGAGACTTAGGGAGGTATGCAAATTACCGTTAATTTCACCCCGCTAAAATTCCGCCATGTCATAATACCTAAGTCTGTTCCTGGAATTTACCATTTTACACTGTCCGTAAAATAATTAACTTATATAAAAAGTAATACAGCTAGAAACACGCAACTCAAGTCTTCGCGTACAAGTCAACACAGCGACTACACCACGACTCGTATTTAATCATTTTTCACCATTAATCTATTCACATTGTACTATATTAATTCCGTGTTACAGTTTATAATTTATATCTTTATTTTTTTTTATAGAGGACGGGAATTTAGTGATACGATTATGAAGGTAATGAAAAAAAATAGAAATCGACATTAAATTTTTGACCCAGGGACAGATTCGTGGTACCCCGCGGCCACACATTACTACTATTACTGTTTATAGGTATTCATGATAGTCTGCTTTTTGGACTTCATCAAAGTTAATTTTAGGCATCAAGTGATCGTGTATAAAGTAATTGTGAAAGAGAGATGCCTAGTAGTCCTCGCGCTGCTTAATCTGGATGCAATTTGAAGGTATAATGTAACATTAGAAATTCTAATAGTTGGTGTGTAACGTGTAAGAGATAGTAATATTGTATTGGTTCCCTCTTTTACCTCATTTTAAGCTGTTTTTCAGCACAAATTTTCCATGACTAAGATTCCCTAAAACTTGCCAACACAATATAACAAAAGGATACTATAATTTGGGTAATGACAGACATCCTGGACCACGGAGATAATTCACCCCGCCATGGCTTCAGGCCTTATTTGGAGATATTACATCTTCTATAAGTCTTTGCACTATTTAAAAGATTACCGATGTATACATTGGTTGTCTCAATTTGTCTGCAGTTCAAGGACCATCGAAGATTAAGAGCGGTAGTTGTCTGACTAGTTTCCTGGCCTTGTGAGACCTGAGCGACGTCTTTGATGTCTACCCTGTGGGCCATTTGCTCGCGAAACACTTAAAGCGTCATAAGGTTTTTTCCTGAACTACGAGGCTCTAATTATTTCTATTTGGTAATGTTACTAATTTACTATGAGGTAGTTTTTCGACTAAATTTGGATAGATAATTATGTACATAAGTATTAAAGTTACTTAATCATTTCGTGTTTTGAGTAAAGAACATTTAGAAGTACATTCTTAATTGTACATCACTATATTTACATTAGTCGTGTTACTTTTCACGAAACGAGGTATGGTTGAAAAAGTACAGAAACCTCTAAACTTGACGTGATGGAGTCTTAATAGTTTTTAGAGACTTTTAAAACTAGATATTTTTTTCATTTATTCACAAAATACTTCATCCGATAGTAATAATATGATACCCCAGGCAATATGTATCTACAGTTTGACATTCACCCCTTATAAATGGAAGAAGCAGACTTACTGTATTAGTTTAAAGGTTAATAATATAAACAAATATTCTCCCTGGGGTCATCTGATAACATGAATATCAATACAAATACTTACAAACCTCACAACTATGAGTCACCACATTTCATTTTTACGTCAATTTAGGATTTTTTCTTAACTCGTAGAAAAAAAAACAACAACACTAACATCTCTCGACGTGTAAAGTAAAAAAAAATCAATAAATTCATAATAGATATGAATCTTCGAGAAGTATTTCCAAGAGGTCATTCCCTAAGGCAACACACCTTGCTGGAGACGCTGTTCTTGCCTAGCACAGCACGAGGCCAAGGACTTATTTTAACAGTTTGCATGAAGGATGTTTTTCTATATGCGGATTGATACAGTCTATAGGCGATTCTTAATCGCCTTTCTTGATTAAAAACAAATGGTATGTTTTTTAACTAACATAACACAAGGCTACGTACAATATTCGTAATTAATTTAACAAATGTACTATCAACTGTATTTGCAGCCTACGTAACACGAAGGCTACAAACTACATTGTAGTTAACTTAGCACAAGTACTACGAAATATATTCTAACCTGACACGAGTACTACGCACTAAATTTTTTAAATAACAATAGGCCACCATCTATAACCTAACATGCCTAACAAAAGGGTTGTCTTATAAGTTTCCACTTTACAGTATCTACCACAAGGAATAATTTAACCTAACTTAAAATAGTAACGAATTTCGGTTCTACTTGACATAAGGACTACGAAATATATCTAAGCCTAGCTTAAGGGTAAAGGCCTGTATTTGACTTAGCACAAGGCTACTAGCTATTTTGTACCCAACTTAACAAAACGCTATTTACTATATTTTACTAAACTTTACAAAAGTTTACGAACAATATTTTCAACTAAAGTCAGCCCTCTGTCCACCTTTACTGACTTACTTTCTGATGCATAAAATTTCCATCATTTATCCAATTCTAACCAAATTTTTTAACCTTTATCCATTAGCTTTTCATATATCTTGATGAAATACATATTACGCAGGCAGACTGAACCAGTGTCAAGTGCTTCCATCGTCAGGAACACAATTAAAACTCAGTGCATTTTTGAACCCACAGAAAGAAGCGAGAAATTAAACGTGGGGTCATCTAATATACTATAGGACTAGCCATGTGTCTGTCTGTCTGTCTGTCTGTTCTGGGCAGCCGAAACGGCACAATCGTTTTTCATCAAACTTGGTGGAAAATTTGAAAAAAATCGTAGAGTGGAACAAACCTGGTCCCATGTCGATGGTTTCTTTAGAAAGGCATTAATTAACCATTTTATTTACGATGGAAAACGATGCAAGTCTACGGACTTGGCGCACCCTAATTAACCATGCAAGTCTAAGGACTTGGCGCACCCTCATTTGCTGTACGCTAGCCAAGCACGAGCATTCAAACTTTCACTGGGCAGAAAGGTGCCCACGATCACTTGTATTTTTATACATGTGGTTGCTAAGCTTCTCTCGGACTGAGGCCTTTTTAACATGCCCTCACAGTGTATATGTTCGTCTGGCCTGGACACAAACAATTTAGTAAAGGCCTGCTGGGTCAACTCGCTGGACGCACAGGTGATCACTTACAGGATAAATTAGCCATAGGTGGGAAATTGCACTTCACTTCTATATACTTGGTGAGTAACCCTACGCTCGAACCTGGCATTTTGAAATGTAAAATATCGTCCTCTAACTGGGCAACAAATTTCGCAGACGAATCGAATACTAATGACAATGCTCTACTAATGAATGACAAAGGTTTGTTATAATGATGAACTGTGATAGGTTAATATTCGTTTAATAGCTGTGGCAAGAGTTTCGGCAAGATTAGGTTAGGTTTCAACAGTGATTTGGAAATTTAAATTATGAGAATGTATTTTTGTGTGTTTCGGTGTGTTTTATTCAAATTTGACCTTCATTTCTTGTACAAATGAGTGAAATTTGTCAACAAAATTAATAATTAGGAAATGTAATTATTATTATTTTTTTACAAAATTCGCTCATTTTCCCCCAAAATGAAGGTCAAATTTTAGTGAAACACACCTAAATATACAAAAAATTAATATATATATATGTATATTCTCATAGCAAAAAGGAGCCACAGCCATTGAACGAATATTTACCGTGTGCTAATACGGTCCTGAATATATTGCATAACCTAACCTAACCTAATCATGGAGGGATAACGAAAGGAATCAGAAAAAGTGAAGATCAATCATAGGCCAGAAGCTAAGACAATACCCGAAAAATTGAGTGAACAGTTGGCCCCACTAAATGACCTTAATAACAACCTCGTGCTTACTGATTGTTATGTAGTAAAATCATCATTCAAGTTCACTTTAGTAGCACTACATAGACAGTCTAGATATAAAACACAAGATACACAGTCAGTAGATTCACCCTCAAGGATAGCCGAGGAAAACCCATTTAAAAGTTTTATTTCCACAGCGGTACCCTACTGTACTTGTCGCCTCAACTGACGAACCACTTGTGGAATTAAACTATATCACTGATACATTGAAGAGGCGAACAACTACAATCAAGAGGATATGTGTAACTCACCTAGCAAGAACAAGATCCCGAGCGTAGTAGTGGTGGTGAAGGATGGGTAAAGCTGCATGGTGAACGTCGAGTTCACTCATCGCACGCCACCACGATACTGACCCCTTCTTCCACTTCCCTCATACACACTAGCTTGCCTCACACCCTCCCCTCCACCCCCTCCCCTCCACCCTCTCCCCCACAGCCCACCTCACATGTCATGGCTCCTATTATCGCCACATCACCTGTTACTTGTATCATTATATCAACAAGTCGTTATGGGATACTTAGCGTGTTGTCAAACTGGGTAATCTTGTATTCAGATTTCCATGGTAAACTCAAACACAACCTTTGGATTGTTGTTTGGTCAAATGTTTTATAAACCATTAAATGTTGGCCTATTGGGTGATTGTTTCCCTAGTGACAATTGTTAACGGAGATGAAGACGTCACTAGAGTTGTCACCTGGTTTGGGGCAGGAGTCTCCGTAAATTGACCTCTGTCAGATTAGAGGAATCTCAGGGTTTTCAGTTTTTCACTAACCTTACTATATCTGTTGACGGTATTGGTGTAGAGATTTTAACAGATGAACATTCAGGGAAGGATCCAGGGGGGTCCTGGGGTCCAGACCCCCCCTTTTCATCATAAAATTACAATACTTTTTCTTTAATGAAGTATTTTGTATTCAGGCGGATATTTTTTTGTACAGTAAAAACTAATTACTAGTGACCTCAAAATATCTCATAATATCAAATGAACATGGCTTCAAAGTGGCCTCAAAATGTCCATGATATTGGTCAATTTATAAAAAAAAAATCTGGAGGGAATTGGGTGGGCTCGCTCCGCTCGCCATGTTTCCCCACCCACAACTTCTTGGACCCCTCCCTTGTTTTAGATTCCTAGATCCGCCCTGACATTCCCTCAACAGTGATCTAGGAGAAGACAAAACCATTGGAGTTATTTACTGTATATTTTACACATCATATGATGTGTATTTTACATGAGGATATTCTTAGAGTTAAAAGTTTGCGTATACGCTAGCCACTTGCATGACGTTATGACTGAAACTATGAATGAGTATAAAGATAGAATAAAGGTCAAGTTATTTGGGACAAGGGCAACAAAAGACCTCTTTTTTTCTCTTTTTTTATGAGGAATAGCCCACCCGGACACAGGTCATCGACCCATAACGGGGCCTGGGAAGCGAAAAAATAAGATATAAAAAATATAGTAGAAAAAGAGCATGTTAACCTTCCAATAAGGAACTCCTCGTGAGATGCTGACGAGTTGATCTACGAAGACTTTGTACAAGCAGCCCCAAATTCTCCATGCATCAGTGTATTAGGATAAACTGTGTAATGAGGTAGTTTCACTTGGAGATGTTATCACAAAGCAAGTTCATAAGAAACTTTGGACGACCCCTGGGCCTCATTCTTCTCAGGCTGTAGTGCACCTAATTTACACAATGTTATCTCGAGAATGCCATCCATTCCGGCAAGCAAAGCCTTTATTGAAAGAACTTTTCCTCCAATGAATAACATGTTGCCTGATAATCAAAATCCTATGAGAGTTGCCTTGCTAGACTGAACTGTGGCCAGGTTAACTGTGGCAGTTTTTTTGAGTGTTTCATAAAGACCAAGACCCTTTCATTTGAAGGCTGCTATGAACAATACAAAGTACATAGTAAAGAAGTAGTAAAGACAGGTGGGACTTTTATTTCCTTTTTTATACCTGTATATTAATTCTATATATAATTGGATAGCAGGTAAAACCCTTTACTGCTCAGATTTTTTTCTCATAAATATTTGGTATTTTTTTGCGCATGTATGTAATTACCATGTATACAGTAAAATAACAGGTAGAAACAATTCTTTCTTCAACTTTTTTCATAAACAGTGGCTCAGTTTTTGTACATGCATCTGTCATTTCTACCTATTTGTTAGCAGGTAAACACACTATTACCTACCTCTTTTATTTTCTTATACAAAATTACTGTTTTTATATACATGTATCTAATTGTTATTGTCTTGTCTAGTAGGTAAAGACACATTCATTATTACCGAGCTCTTTTCTTTTATTAAGTCATGAATATTTTTTTAACTATGCATCTTAATAAATATTTGTAAGCAAATATTTTTTCACGATCAATTGAATCTGTATTAAAAAACTGAGGATGTTTATATAGCGGTGTATATAGTACCCAAGTACTATATATGAACAAATAATGACAAGCTTCTCCTGATTTGAAAACTCTGAGGTGACAACCCTGGGAGCCACAGTGGAGGCGCGTCGCCCCCAGTACTACATCGCTGTGTGCTACACCCACCATCCCAATACTATCTCTACCACCCTTCATTTTACCTCCACCCTTACCATCGCCCCCCCCCCCTTAGTATTACCCCTGCTACTACCACCATCCACCATTCGGATTACCACTACCACCATCCCCACTAGTATTACCACTACCACCACCTCCACTGGTATCGCCACTAACCACTGTTACCATTCACCACGGCTATTACCTACCATTCTCCCCATCACACACACACACACACACACACACAACACCCACACATCACAGAACACACCACACCCTCCTGGGATTAACATAACCCCCACATAGTATCGTTTTTTTTTCCCCGACGCAAATTATCCTGGGATTTAAACACATTAGCTTAATTACAATGCCAGGAATAAAGTACGATAATCCTAACTGACAATACACTGGGGTTAAATGTTCTAAGCCAAGGTAGAGATTTTCGCCATTAGTGAATTATCTTAAGTGAGAATTCTCAAAATAAAATCGTACGTTGATATTTTTTTTTAAGTTACTAGGAACGGGATAATGTACAGCTAGTTACATTAGAGTCTTAGTGCCATATTGACGCCATTTTAATCCTGTCCGAATGTCTATCGTAAATACCTAAATCAGTAATTCTTAAAAATAAAATCGTATTGTATTTTTTTCTTCAGGTTTTCAGGTAACTGGAGACTAGAGGTGGACATGGTAGAGTCAATGTATGTTTACGACGCCATTTTTAAAGCCATCATTGTGTAATATATTCATCTCTTAAATGTGATGACTTTATTGCCCATGGGTGTGCAATATTCACCGTACTCAGGGAAATAGGTCATTGTATTTAAAGAGTTATGTCATCGTAATCAAGGGGTTAAGATATAGGTTAATTCATTGTACTCAGTGGTTGAAAAGTGTGTGTGTGTGTGTGTGTGTGTGTGGCCATTATATTCCCTGACAGTAAAGACCCAAATGTTTACAAACAGAAACACAAATATGTAACGTATTATTTACACACACACACACACACACACACACTTACCAACTCAGTAATTACACCACAAGAACCAGAAGTGCTATTACATACTTACAAAGCACAGCGTCGTAATCATCACTACACATGAATAAAATAAAAATGGCAAATACTCTAACAACTGACTCCACGATTAATAATGAATACTTTACCCCTGACACATAAATGATCCTTGGTCACTTTGTACAAGATGATGATGATGAATGATGATTGACCAAACACAGATACAATGAAATGCAGTAAATGGGGGGAAATAAACAATGGATAAACGAGTCTGTTAAGCAGAATAATAATAAAAATAATACCTGTAATAATAATAATAGTAATAAAAAGAAGAATGGCATTTTATTATTATTATTATTATTATTATTATTATTATTATTATTATTATTATTATTATTATTATTATTATTATTATTATTATTATTATTATTATTATTATTATTATTATTATTATTATTAAATCCCTGTAGACACGCAACTCGCTAATTTTATGGTGTCAGTGTGAAAAATCGTTACCTCAGCCGACCACAATAGCAAAACTAATTTGTTGTTGTAGTAAAAAACATAACAAGTGAACTATGTCGCGTTTAATCCAATAATTATATACCTTTCTTATTACTGTTTATTATTTCATTATAAAGTTAGAGAATTAGTTTTAGATATAGCTAATTTCTATTTTCGTTTTGTGTTTTGTTTTTATTTTAACGAGCTTAGGTGTTGAGGCGCAGTAATATATTATAACGTCAATGTAACTACTGTATTATCTAATGAGGATGTAAAGATTCACACAATCAATATCTTCTTACGATACATTTGGTGCAACTTTGGTTTCATAATTACATGTTTGTTTTTTCTTGTTTGTGTGATAGATGCTCAGTTGACTTTGGATTATACCTATAAGTAATATTGTAGTCAACTTACACTGACGCAAATGTGAGCTTTTATATTGTTATAAGTATATCTTTTGTTATTATTATTATTGACACGCTTTCTGCCATGTCTCCCTTTGCTATCACCTCTCTCTGTCGCAGTCCTTCAGGTTGGCGCCGCATAAAAATCTCTACATCTGCTTAAGGTAATATTACGAACCGACGGAGGAGATGGTGGTGGTGGTGGTGGTGGTAACCGATGGTGGTGATACTGGTGACGTCAATGGTAGAGTTGTTCGACGGTGGTGATGGCATAAGTGCTGTGAGTGATGGTGATTAACTGGTTTGGATAACATATCATAAAGTGTGTTCAGGGCAGTTTATTAGCGAGAGTTCCAAGTTGATGATGATGATAATGGTGGTGGATGTTCGTGTTGTTTATCTCAGATGGGTTTTGTCATCTAAGGGGTTGTAAATTCTGATATTCTTTAAGCTGTGTCCTATTTCTTTTGCCAAATTTTTACTTAATCTTCATTTAATCTATTAAAAAAACAGTTTAAATATCTATATTGAGCTGTTAAAGATGTGAAATTACCCAACTGCCTCGAAAGAATGGAAAATCTATAGTTTATGCACACAATGAAAAAATTATCTTTACAATTTTGTGTTAGACAATATGACTCAACGGACGAAGGATTTTGACAACCCTGCCGAGACAACAGGAGTCACAGTGTTCATTCTGAAATACATTGGACCCCACCGTAAAGATACTTTTTTTGTTCTTGGCTATACACTAAGCGCCATCCAGACATACAAACAACTACTCTCACCCTCAGTAGTGACACTCGCCTGGGTTTTGCAACATGTTTTTAAGGCACACAATACTCCCCTCATTACCAAGACACTG